TATAGATCTGGTTTTACCAAATGAGTCGGGTTCGGATTCCGGTTCGAGTCGGTTATCGAGTAGAAGAAGAAGTAGTTCGAAATCGACTACGAGTATACGAGAGATTGATTTGGTTTCTTTAGAAGCTGTTTCTGATCTGAAATCAATAGCTAAGAGAATGATTGGAGCTGGATACTCACGTGAATGTGTTCAAGTATACGGAAATGTACGAAAATCCGCTATTGAAGCTATCTTTAAGCAGCTAGGGATTGTGAAATTAAGTATTGGTGATGTACAAAGACTAGATTGGGAAGTTGTTGAAGTCAAGATTCGACGATGGATCCGTGCGGCTAAAGTTTGCGTTAGGGTTGTTTTCGCGAGCGAGAAGAGACTCTACGAGCAGATATTTGGTGATGAAGGAGAAGAAGAAGAGACATGTTGTTTCATGGAGATTGTGAAAGGCTCTGTTTTGGAGCTTTTTACTTTCCCTGAAGCTATAAGTATAAGTAGAAGATCACCAGAGAAGCTATTCAAGATTCTTGATTTACATGATGCTTTAACAGATTTGTTACCAGATATGGAAGAGATTTTTAACACGGGATCATCCGAATCGATTCTTGTTCAAGCGACCGAGATACAGTCGAGATTAGGTGAAGCTGTGAGAGGTATACTCGTCGAGTTTGAGAATGCGGTTTTTCGTGAGCCTTCGGTTGTTCCTGTACCTGGAGGTACTATACATCCATTAACAAGGTATGTGATGAATTACCTAAACTTGATCTCTGATTATAAGCAAACATTAGTTGATCTCATCATGTCGAAACCGTGTCCTGGTTTGAAATGTACTAATGATCCGAATAAACCCGATATGGATCTCACCGAGCTTCAAGGGTTGTCTCCGTTAGCTTTACATTTGATATGGACAATGGTGATGTTAAGGTTCAATCTAGAAGAGAAGTCTTTGCATTACAAAGACGAAGCTTTATCGCATATTTTCATCATGAACAATATCCATTACATTGTCCAAAAGGTCAAAAGCTCGCCCGAGCTAAGAGAGATAATCGGTGACCTTTATTTAAGAGCGCTTACGGGTATATTCAGACAAGCTGCGACGAAATATCAAAGAGCTACATGGGTTAGAGTGTTGAATAGCTTGAGAGATGAAGGATTACATGTGAGTGGAAGCTTCTCTTCGGGAGTATCGAAAAGTGCTTTAAAAGAGAGGTTTAAAGCTTTTAATACAATGTTTGAAGAGGTTCATAGGATTCAATCGACTTGGTCGGTTCCAGATACTCAGCTTAGAGAAGAACTCAGGATATCTTTGTCTGAACATTTGATCCCGGCTTATAGATCGTTTATCGGAAGATTTAGGGGACATATAGAAAGCGGAAGACATCCCGAGAACTACTTGAAATACTCTGTTGAAGATCTTGAAACCGCTGTGTTGGATTTCTTCGAAGGATATACAACAGCTCCACATTTGAGAAGACAGACTCAGTGAAAAGACAGAAGAAGATCGAAAAACCCCGAAAATCGTTTTTTTTTTGGGTAGAATTAGTCATACTATCATTCTTTGAATTCTTTACTTGTTCTTGTGGCTGTGTTCAGAAAAATCTCCAGTTTCTGGTGAATGATCTTCTTCGCTTGTTGTAATCATA